GCTTCTGACTTTATAAGAATCAGTGTAAGCGCTATGAAGGCAAAAAATGGTCTTCATCATTGAGTCCCAGTGCCTAGATCAATGCCTGGCATATAGTGGGTACACCATAAATAGTACCTGGGTAAGTGAATTCTGTTTACTTGTTCGTAATCAAATTAGAATTCTGAGACCTTGTGTGCCATTGTTTCAAAAATCGTATCTGCTTTGTATTAGTACAAATTTAATTGACCAAATAATTTTATGTGATTAATTTTAAAGCCAGAGACTTTAAAATGATAAGAGCCTCCATTCATTCCATGGAATGAGTTGCATTACAGTGTCACTTCAAGACGCCAAAGCGTCATGGATCACCAGGTAGAGGAATCCTTGATGGTTTCTCTCAGCATCCAGGGGTTAAGATGATAGATAGCCCTTGAGAAAAGGAGACGGGGCAGCGATCTCGTGTTCCTGTTCACTGCGAGATCCTAGAACCTATAATTGCCTGGTTCTGTGTAACTTACATGGAACAATAATTATCCAAAGGAAGTTTACTTAAAAATGCCATTTTCTTCTAAAATGTTCAAAGGAATGTCCTTTATAAGTAGCTTATTAATATGGTTATTATTAGTATGAGCTAAAATTTTTCCTACTATCCACAAAACACTTGTTCATGATAAATTGGTTTGGTCATAATGAGTATTTTTCTCATTGGGTATTTAATCTGTGTTAATATGGATCTGAAAATCTGCCTATCTTAGTTAAGGAGTAATAAAGATCTGTATGGTTCATTTTTGTTTGCTGCCCACTGACTTTGTTGACCTTCCTGAATCAAAACTTTTTTCTATGGGCTGAAATGCCATTTCATAAGCTTAAGTACTCCTTGAATTTTTAAAATTAAAGTATTTCTGATGTCCATTTGTTCCCAGAGTTTCCTTCTTTTTGAGTTTTTAAGTTTCCTCTCCAATGTGCAGGTGTGTGTAATTCAGATAGGCCAGTTGGGAAGGAGCTATTGTTTTTTTTAGAGAAGTCACTTTCAAATGATGTTGCAGAATCTTTGACAAGGTGTTATAAGCCCTTCTTATTATATTTAGCTTGATAGAGGATTTATTTATAATGATGGCCCAGAGCATATGGCAACTGCAGCTTGTTCCCGTCTTCACTGCAAAACCAAAGATCTATGGTCTAACTGCTCCACGTTATGTTTATTTGGGCAAAGAAACATTTACTTTAAGTCCCACCTGTATGCCTACCTGGCTGAATGTGCTCTCCAAACATTTCTTCATTCTTTCTGATTCTCATCTGCTTTATGTTATGTGATGATGCCTATAATCCTGTGATGATTTTACATTTTCTTTTTCTTGTCGTCTTTAAGAAAGAAGGCAACTTTCTTTCAAACTTTTTTTTTTTTTTTTAAAGAAGGCTCCATGCCCAACGTGGGTCTTGAACTCAAGACCCTGAGATCAAGAGTCGCGCACTCCACCAACTGAGCCAGCCAGGTGCCCTCTGTTCACATTGATTCGAACGCATTCTCAGAGGTGATTTGCAGGACCTTGGATGAAAATGGACCCATAGTCAGTCAGTACCTTTGACAATATGCTACTAACTGTTACCTTACAATTGAGTTTTCATGCAACTCACCTGATTCTGCATCATTCTCTATATTTTAAACAATCTGCAAAGTTTTGCGTTTTGGTCTCTATTTTCTATCCTTCTTACTCTGTATAATTAAAATAGCCCAAACTGATCAAGTTAAACATAATCAAATTTTAAAGTCAGCATGAATAACAAGTTGTACACCTTGTCAAAAGGATATTCAAATAGAAAATGACCTTGGAGGACTGTTGTATCATAGATGCCTGTGAATGGAACCCTATCCCTGAAATTACTGGGACAGTTCATCTCTTCAGCATTTGTCACTGCAGCAGTCTTCCCAGTTGTCTATGTCTAAATGATGGTAATTTTTCTAAAGTCTTGAAATGTAAATGATTCCTGTCAAGCACAAGCACAGAAACTGAGCCTACTGTTAATGGCCTGCTCATCCAATTGCCTTTAATGGAGATAAAATAGCCATTACGATCTTTTCTGAGCCCTTGGGTATTAGAGGAAATTTTCGGCAATTAGTGCAGCAGCAGCTATTGGTTTTGAACTCCCTGTAGCTGTCAGTTTGACTTTAAGCAGCTGATTATTTTCTCCAGTGGTAGAGAAGAGGGGTTTTGTGTGTTCTTTATAACCACATGAAATTTTTGTTGTTTTTATTTTTTTAGCAATCTTATTTATAAAAGGTCTTGTTGATGACTTGACTTAGCCAGGATTGGCTACTAGGTTTCACCATATATGACAGTTGGTGTACGGAGTTGAGATTATGACACCATATTTTTCTCAGTGGGACACCATATTCTCTTCGATTAGTCATGTCTGCCACAGAAAAAGAATGGATATTTTACTTTATTTTTTAAATTCTTTGAAAATTTTAATTCTAGTATAGTTAAAATAGAGTGCTATATTAGTTTCAGGTATACAATAAAGTGATTCAACAATTCTACACAGTACTCAGTGCTCATCATAAGTGTTCGCTTTAATCCCTCCCCTTCACCTATATCACCCATCTCCCCCCCACCTCTGGTAACCATCAGTTTCTTCTCTACGGTTAAGAGTCTGTTTCTTGGTTTGTCTTTTTTTTCCCCTTTGTTCATTTGTTTTATTTCTTAAGTTCCACATATGAATGAAATCAAATGGTATTTGCCTGACTTATTTCACTTAGCATTATACTCTCTGGATCCATCCATGTTGTTGTAAATGGCAAGATTTCATTCTTTTTCATGGTTGAATAATATTCCATTTTACACACATCTTCCTTTTCCACTCATCAATCAATGGACACTTGAGCTGCTTCCATGATTTGGCTATTGTAAAGAACACCAATAAACATAAGGGTCCATATATTCTTTCAAATTAGTGTTTTTGTATTCCTTGGGTAAATACTAGTAGTAGCATTACTGGATCACGTGGCAATTCTATTTTTTTAAGTTCATTTATTTATTTTGAGAGAGAGAGAGAGAGTCCTATGCAAGCTTCATGTTGTCACTGCAGAACCTGACTCAGAGCTCAATCTTACAAATGGTGAGATCATGACCTCCACTGGAATCAAGAGTTGGATGCTTCATTGACTTAGTCACCCAGGTGCCCGTGGTAACTCTATTTTTAATTTTTTAGGAAATCTCCATACTATTTTCCACAGTGGCTGTACCAGTTTACAGTCCCATCCACAGGTCATAGGGGTTCCTTTTTCTCCATGTCCTTGCCAATGATTGTTGTTTCTTGTGTTTTTTTATTTTAGCCATTCTAACAGTTGTGAGGTGATATCTCATGGTGGTTTTGATTTACAAGAGTGGATATTTTTGATGGCTATGCCTCTGCCACCATGTAGGAACAGTAAAATCTTTAGGCAAGCTTTGAAAGCCACTAAGTTACCTTTTGTATGACTAGTAGGAACACTTTCCCTCTACCCTCTTAGGTTTAATGAATGGGAGCCTGTGGTTTTACCTAACAAAAGACAGATTAACAGAAAAGGAATACAAATTTATTATTTTTTAAGTGCACAGGAGTTGAAAGAAAAGTGAAACTAGAAAGGGCTCGACTTGAGGTTGGATTTGGGTTCACAGACAATAAATTATAGGAAACTAGGAAGTTGAGGAGAGAACCAATGGATGATAGGGTTATTTTAGTTTTGTTTGTGCAAACTCATGTCAGTGTTGACTCTCTATCTCTGATGATAAGGGTGTTCTTCTCTTCCTGGTACAGTTGGGGGGCACACCTTCACAAAGGGAGATTTATGCCCTTCTTTCAGGCAGATAAGAAAAAGGTAGGAAGCTAACCCTGGAGATGTTAATTCTCAATTGCCTTCAACTCAAAATTATCCTAATCCAAAATGGCATATTTGGGGTGACATATCCTAATTCCCTGCAAATGCTGACCCATGTTTCATAGTTGAAGATTGCAGTGTAAGAAAAAAGTGAAAGAAATTTGTGTCCCCAACTCCTTTCCCTGTGATTTTGCAAAAGCCTTCTCCTGTCACATCTCCCTTCAAAGTCAGCAAGTCTATAAAGCAAGAGAGTAAATTTATATTTCTAAATTTTATTCCTTGCTACAGAAGCTTTTGCGATGTCTAAGACTCTGAAGTATAGAGATTATTCCAAATCAGAGAAGGACCATATCAAATCTCTCAGGTTGCTCTGTTTTTGCCCAGATGCATGGTTTTCTTCCTTTTCTCCTATTTTTTCATCCCATTCTAGCACATGCTCTGGCAACAATAGCCCCATCTGTCCGAGTATTTCCTTTTCCTTTCTTATGGATTCTTTATTAATGCACATGCTTTCCCACATGAAGTACAATGTACAATGTAGAAAAGTCCCAGTGGTACCATACAGTTGTTATCACCAGGATTTCTATTTCTCTTTCCACTTTACAACCTTTCTTAATGTTTCTGTGTTCCGTCTAGGAATATAAGATACTATATAAATATAAAAGAACTGTAAGATACTCATTCTGGTATTGCAAGATTCCCTTGTGTCTGCTTCTTTTTACCTTACAATTTTATCTTCATGCCTAGTGGCATGCTGGAGCTGGTTGTTAAATCTTTAGGAATTCTGTGAACTGCTTTTTAAACACGGCCCTTATTAAAATTGAATTATAGGGGTATGTGGGGGGCTCAGTTAAGAGTCGGACTCTTGATCTCAGCTCAGGTCATGATCTCAAGGATCAGGGGATCAAGCTCCGCATCGGGCTCTGTGCTGTCAGCGTGGAGCCTGCTTGGGATTTTCTCTTCACTCTCTGGTCCTTCCCCAACTTATGCTCTACCTGTGTCTCTCAAAAAAATAAAATAAAAAGCCTTTAAAATTTAAATTTGAATTATATAAATATATAATTAAATAAACTATATTAGAAACAAAAGTAATAAGTACTCTAAACTCATCAGTTCCTGATTATTTACTATATTTTATTATATAATTATCTATGTTCTTACAGCTACTTATGCCCATCATATCACCCTGAAAGGAGGAAACACTGCATATGGCATCACAGTGGCACACTTCCTCACAACCCCGTTGGTGACGCCATGGCCAAAAGCTACACATCAGCTCTTTATCCCTCCAAAGAGCCAGTTGTTAATCATTTGCCAGCACACCTCTGCTCTAAGCCCACAAAATGTCACTCATATGAAGCTTTCATAACCAAATCCTCACGTGTGTATCCTTCTTCCTTCCAATTTCAAGATTCATGCAGCCAGTTCATAGAAATGTTCCTATCAAGCCACATGCTCTGTCCTTTCAGCTTTAAGGTAAGATGAACTTGTTTGTCAAATCCGTTAGCTTCTTCCTTTCGAGCCAGCTCTAAGTTCCTGGTTTCATGTGCTGCTCACAAGACGCCACTAAAAGCTCTGAGTGAATCTCTGTCAGGTGCGCTGCAATCAAATCGAGTGCTTATGAAGCTCTGCGGTAACAGTCGCCTGCCTGGTTGGCTGTGGTATTAGTTTCTCGTGCGCGCTCACTCTTCCGTTATCATCCCAACTCACTCTCTGAAGACATTTTGTCAGTGCAGCTACTTCCACTTAGAGGAGAATCTGATTTAACTGTGAAGAAAACTGGAGTGTTTTTAAAAATCTCCAGCTAGAACAGTCCCTTCCTGAGCCTTTTCCTTTAAGAATTTTCCAATTGAGAAATATTCTATTTGTTACAATTTAGGGTATCTCAACTCTGGAGGCCACAGCTCAAGTATTGGAAACCAATGACTTTAGTATTAGTTCAATAATCTAATGTGTACTGTAGGAATTAAAAGTGTAAATGACCAACCTTAGAGTCTTTCCAGATTTGGTAGGAACAATTTGAGAATAGGAGATTGTAATTCCTGAGGCAGGAAGAAAACTGCAAAAAATAAGATAAAATCAAAATAAAAAAGACAGGACAGGGCAACAGATGGCAAATTCCTATGGCTTCCCAAGTTTGTTTTTTGAACAATTTTTTGAAATAGGTTTTTTTTTTTTTTTTTTTTTCACAAAAATCCTAAACCGTTCAGAAAGGATGTAGGAGTTGCACCATTTGATTTTTAGATAAGAGTGAGGAATTGACTCAGAGTCACAGAGCATGTGCCAAAATCATTTTCCCGGGGGCTGTGAAGCTTCCTTCTCCAGGAATTTCACTTCTAGAGGAGTTGGTGATTGAGGTGAACCCTGTAATAGAGTCGGGTTCCCAGGATATGTCACAGGAGCGGTTGCCCGGGGCTCCCAGAGCGTGAACACTTCTCCTGGACGGTGCTCTCCACACCCAGACAGCAGCACAGACGGACGTGGGTCCCCTCCCAAGAGAAGGGGGCACTTCCACGTGAGCTTACATATCTCCTCGGGGCTCCCTGGTTGTGGGGGAGGCAGGGACACTAGTGCTGTGAAGTGCTCTGTTAGTGGGGAGACCTGCGGTAGTCAGAACTCGGGGTGTCGGAGGAAACCTGGCTGACATGGTGAAGCGGTTCTCCCGGTTTCTAGGTACAGAGGCCAGTCCCTTTGTCCACGGTACCCTGGCCTGGGTGGGGAGCGTGGGGCCAGGGCCTCTCAGAGCTGTGCTCCCCAACCAGCGAGGAGCCACCGTGGATGGATTTTGTCGCGGGGTGACGGGCACTGGCCGAAGCTGGACACTTGCCACGGTGCTGACAGTGGGTCTTATTACATCTCTCGCTCCCCAAACACTGGGAGGCCACAGAGCTAGCCGGTCGGCTGCCTTCCTGTCAAAAGCAGTCTCTGGTCTTCCCTTCAAGTTTCGAATTGGCTGTGAATAGAAGCACAGAAAGACCAAGTTAGAGAAAGCGCTTCCTGCCTAGAATACACGGGTGGCTCCTTGTGAATCCACAGCTTTGGCCTGAAGGATCTGGGGGCGGGAATGGGGGCAGTGCACATGACCCCTGGGGAAGGTAAAATAAAGGGGGAGCCGGAGGCCGGGGTGACACACGACAGGTAGCTGTGGCTGAAGCTGGGCTACACCAAGAAACTGGTTGGGCTTTTGCCTGATTTGCCTCCATTTTGAATGTCCTCTCAGATACAAGCTTAGAGCACGGGGAGACAAGTCATGGGGGTGAGTCCGTATCATTGTACCCAGGTCCTAAAGTATCCCGAGAGCCCTGCTGTGTCCTGGTCACTACCACCTACCACCTGTGTAGTTTCCATGTTGGTGCTTGGACTGAACACTTAAGATGGGCTAGGTATCTTCTGTCCTTTCACTTATTGTTTTCTTTTCTTGTCACTGTGACACAATGCTAGGTCATTTTCAATCAAGATATGTTTTTGGCACAACCATACTTGCTGTATTACAGGGCCCATCAATGTCCTTTCATTTGACCTAGTGTTTTAATTTTTTTATTTTTTTAATGTCTATTTATTTTTGAGGGAGTGAGAGAGAGTGAGAAGCAGACGCAGAATCCGAAGCAGGCTCCAGGCTCCAGGCTCTGAGCTGTCCACACAGAGCTTGACACAGGCCTCAAACTCATGAACTAAGAGATCATGACCACAGCCGAAGTTGGACGCTTAACAAACTGAGCCACACAGGCGCCCCCGGCCTAGTGTTTATATAGGTCCTTCTTGTCTCTGCTGACCTTTTAATTGTCACAGGTCACATACCTGTTAGGATAGGTAAGTGCTACACGCAAATATAAGTGAAAATTTTTCTTGAGCCCAAGTTCTTTTTGGCTGTTGTTTCAAATTTTATTTAAATTTTAGTTAACCAACATATAGTGTAATATTGGTTTCAGGAATATAATTTAGTGAATTTGGTTCTTCACAAGTGACCTCCTTAATGCCCATTGCCCATTTAGCCCATCCTCCTCCTCTCCCCTCCAGCAACCCTCAGTTTGTTCTCTATATTTAAGAATGTCTTATGGTTTGCTTTTCTCTCTCTCCCTTTTTTTTCCTTCCCATATGTTCATCTGTTTTGTTTCTTAAATTCCACATATGAATGAAATCATATGGTGTTTGTCTTTCTCTGACCGACTTTGAGCCCAAGCTCTCTCTGTTGGCTATGCTAAGGAAGCTACTGAGCTTTTTAGGCAGGAATTCAATTCTACAAACATCCTAGTCAATATGCCCTAAGTGACTAATCTTTTTGTTGGTGGTGGGTGTTATTTTAGTCTTAGGATTTCCTTCAGGATGGTACTGGATAAAGTTTCAACCTTACATCTTCTACCCTTGACTAATTCTGAATTTTTCTAGTATGACAGAGGTATTTTACATGAAAAAAAAAATCTGTTCTCACTGAATCCAAAACATTTCTATTTGGGTTCAACACACAAGAGGTTTGAAGACTCCAGACCCAGTCAAATATTACCCAGTCAAATATTACCAGCCCCTCTAAATATTACCACTGAATCAAATTTCTGCAGTTCAAATATGGACTTCTCTTATAAATTATCCAAAGCAAGTGTTTTAAACCTGGAGCCATTTTGCTCAGCTGAATACATTTGGCAATGTCTGGGGACATTGCCACACATGTTGTCACAAGTGAGGAGGCCAGGGATACTACTAGACATCCTCCAGAGCACAAGACACCGAAGCAACGGTGAAGTATCTGGCCCCAAGTCAAGGTGTGCTGCTGTTGACAAATCTGGATCCAAAGTAACTTAATTCATTTGTTTAAGGAAAGGGAATATGCTACTGACTTACCAGCATCTGAAATATATAGTAGCTTTTCTTGTATCCACGACTGCTGTCACTGCTCTCCTCCGACAAACCAAGCACCCCTTTCTAGAAAACAGAAGAATACAGTCATCTTAGAACCTCTTCTTCCTTTCTGTGTGTTGCTTCCTTTCCAAATGGGTGCATATGGCTCAAAGCTTGAAGAAGAGCTATTCAAAGTAACTACACTAAGATAGTGGCTCTGCCAAGGTGTTCAATGTCCTGGGTAAAATGGGAACCCCCCAAACAGACTTGGGGCAAGTCAAGGGCCAGAGTCCGTCTCTGTCAGACCCTTCCTATCACTATGGCCACAGGCACCACAGCCTTTTCATCTGAGCTCCCTCCTCTTTGTTGACCTCAGAGACAGTCCCAGGTGGTCTATAAGCCTATGTGCAAAATAACCCTAGATGCACACACACACACACACACACACACACACACACAACACAGCCCCTGAGGAGCAGTCACATTTTGATTTGGATTTTTATCTTCTCCCCCCTCGACACAAGCACCTTTTCACCTGTGTATGTATATTGCCTAAAATTTCCTTTTTTGAACTGACCGGGATTTCCAATTGAATCTTCAAAGTGGGGCCCTTTGTGACATCTTGTAATATGCCACATGTTTTCAGTCCTTTGGATGAATTTAAGTGGATAATGATGCCAAAAGTGTCTCAAAAAAATACCCAAATAAAAAACATTGCTCTGAGTGTACCATTATAGAAGTCAGTGATTTAAACGATATGCTCTCATTTCTGATAGCAACCCCATAAAGGCGTATAGGAGGCACAGATGTCCTTTGGTACGGAAGCTCTAACTGACCTACTGTGAACTATTTGCGTCTCCCTAAAATTCATGTTGAACCCTAATCCCTAGTGTGATAGTATTTGGAAGTGGGGCCTTTGGAAGGTACTTAGGTCATGAAGGTGGCGCCCTCATGAAAGCAGTTGATACCCTTATAAGAAGAGATACACGGATGCTTGCTTCCTCTCTCTCTCTCTCTCTGCCATGCGAGGATACAACAAGAAGATTGTCTGCAAATCAGGAAGAGGGCCCTCACCAGGAACACATTGGCAGGCACCTTGATCTTGGACTTCCCAGGCTCCAGAACTATGAGATATGAATTCTTGTTTATTAAGCCACCCAGCCTATGGCATTTTGTTATAGCAGCCAGAGCAGACTAATACATGGGCTCAGAAAAAAAAAAAAAGGCCCAAGATGATCTAACAATGTCTATACTGATCAGGTAAATGGGCAATGATGGCATTTGCCCTTAATCCTAGATATATAGTAGACAGGTACCTATACCTCTACTTATCATCTGTTTGGAAAGAGCAAGAATTGTTGGTAGGTTGTTTTGGGGTATTTTTGGATTGTTCTTATGTCCCCAAACCATTGATTGGCAAATATACACTGAAAAAATCACTTGTACAGATTCTAGAAGTCACACACGACCCTGTATTTATCACGTGTGCCCAGAGCAGGGGAGAACCAGAGAACAATGGTGCAGAGCCCAAATGACTAAGCTGGGTGAGCACCCAGACTGACTGACTGGGTCAGTAATTTGTTTTCAGAAAGCAGGCTACAGCCACACATGACTGAAAAGTTCTATCTTCACAAAATAATAAATTACATATTATAGACTTCTAGGTAGCCTGTAAACTATAGGCAAATCATGGAAATGGAAATCATGATGGTAAGTCCCAAACTTTTTTTTTTCATTTTTCTGTATATATTTTTAATGATTAGAAACAATCAACTATGCAGTCATAATTGCAGTTACTGGGGTCTGAAAATGCCAGTCAATAAAAATAAAATCGATATTGAACTGTCATGAGTAGGATGTTTATCTTACTTTATTCACTTAAGTTTTTGAGAGCTTCAAACTATACGGTTTGTGACCAGTGGGATGCATGTACAAGACCTCAAGTCCAAGTATGGGACAAGTGTAGCCCTGAAGTTCCTCATCAGCAGAAGAGTGAAGGCCATTCTTCTAGAGGCCTAGCAAGAAACACATTGCCTAGCTCAGAAATATGCTGGAGTCTCACATTTCATCTTAACATAAGTCATGTGACTTTTGTATTTGTGCCATAATAGACTTATTGTAATATTAACATGTTTTAACTTATCCGTTAAATTTTTCCTCAGAAAGAAATCTAAAAACTGATCACCTTAGAAGATGTACCATGATTCTCTTGTGGCTTGGCCCACCTCTGACCCACCCTCTGGTCCTCTGCAGGAGCACGTTATGATCTATGATCCATGAGAAGGGTGAGTTTGTTGAACTGGGTACGAGTTCTACATCTGAAAAAGATGTACGAGTTCAACCCTCAGTATATATGAATGTGACCTTATTTGGAAATAGGGCCTTGGCAGATACAGTTAAACTGAGGATCCTGAGATGAGTTCATCATGTATTTAATCCAATGAGAGGGTTTTCAGACACAGAGAAAGAGGGAAAAGGCTGTGTGAAGATGAAGGCAGAGGCTGGAACATGGGAACACAAGTCAAGGGACTCTAGGAGCCATCAGTAGCTGGAAAAGAGCAAGGAAGGATTTCCCCTGAAGCCTTAGGAGAGAGCATAGCCCTGCTGATACCTCGATTTCTCACTCCTGGCTTCTGAGAGAATAAATCTCTATTGTAATTGGTTACAGCAGTCCTGGCAAAGTGATACACTCAGGAACTGCAAAAACGACAATTCCACAGATAATACCACCAATATTTGAGCCCTGCTTTGGCCATAGACTCAGAAGTTAACTTTAAACACTGTTCTCACACAAAGTGGCAAAGCTGCAATGAATCTTTTTTTTTTTTTTTTTTACAAATAGTTTATTGTCAAATTAGTTTCCACATAACACTCAGTGCTCATCCCCAAAGTGCCCTCCTCCATGCCCATCCCCCCCTCCCCCCCACATCCATCAGTCCTCAGTTTTTGTCAGCATTCAAGAGTCTCTCATGGTTTGCCTCTCTCCCTTTCCCCCACCATTTCCGCCCTTCTTCTCCCCCTTGTTCCTCCGTCAAGTTCCTCCTAATCCTCCTATACGTGCAAACAT